ACCCAGGCATCTGTCTGACCATTGCTGGGTTACCTCGACCAAAGAGCTTGGCCAACACTACTGTACCTTTTTAGGAGCAAAACCGAAAACTCTAAAATAACTCTTCTCTTAGAAAAAAATGATTGCGGTTTCATACATGAGGCTCATCGGTTCCCTTGTGGAATGGAAATCGCTGCAGCTTCATGCTGGAACATGTTACCTCATGGCCCATGTGTTCTGCACAGGGGTCAGTAGGTTTCCTATGAAGGCCGGCCTGTGCTTTGTTCCATACAGAACATAAAGCTGCTGTGGAGAAGCTGTGCCGTTTTGTATGTGTTTTAAGCCGGTGGTGTCGGGTTGGGAGCACACTGACTCATTCTGGCCCAGTGTTTACTCCATATGTTTAGCTGTGTCCACAGAGTCACTTTGTCCCAGAAGGGAGGACGGGGATAAGGAAGCTTTTATTTACCAAGTCAATATTCGTAGGGTTTTTTCAGTATACCTTTTAAGACTGGATGCGTTGCTCACCCATCCTGAACAAGGAAGCTATTTAAGGTGACCGGGCCTGTGAATCATTGCCTCATAATCTTATATTTTCAGAAGATGATCTGCTTCTGGTAATTTTGTACAAAGCCCAGTTCTTGTCATTCCCGTCACTGTTTTCTTTCTACTCCTTCCCTAGTACGATAGAGCGGCCCAGCTCCAGTAACTGGAGTGACCCAGCTGGGCGGGCAGGCAGGCCCGTCGGTTTGCAGTGTTTTGAATGGGAAATTTAACAGGAGAGTGTAGTGGATCTTCACAGAGTCATTCTGGTCCATATATATGCCTGGTATAGGCAGGAACATGCAATACACTTTCTTCTATTATCTCTTATTTTTGGTGACCCCCTGTGAGGCAGTGGGGTGAAGGTGATGGGATTTTTGCATAGCTGGTGCTCCAGCACACACATGACACCACCTGACATTTTATTTGCAAAACAGAAAAAATGGTCACCGGCACTCCAAGTTTTCTTCCAAATGAAGTCCTTTTATTCATTCTTGCAGGTTATCACCATGCGTGGCAACGTTTCGGAACCGGTCACTTTTGTTTGCCTGATGAAGGGACCGGACAGGTCCCGAAAACGTTGCCACGCATGGTGATATGACCTGCAAGAATGTATAAAAGGATTTGGGAAGAAAACTTGGAAGTGCTGGTGACCATTTTTTCTGTTTTGCAAGTATTTGGCGGTTCCATCCGCGGCCACTTCAGCACCCCCCCAAATTATATGGGGCTTCACGGTCAGGAGTGCGGTTGGACTCTCTATTTCACATTTTCATTTGGGCTCACAAGTCTGCCCAATCACCCGCATCTGTTTCTCATGATAGCTTCATTAAAATGACGCTAAACGCACGCTCCCCTGCACCATACCAGTGTTTCGTCGGCTCTTGTATGTAACTGCCATCGCCGGCTGTTTAAAGGAGAACTATGGGGTCAGGGCTTTTCCCCCATAGTTCTCCGAAGTGTAACGGGAGCACACAAACTAGCGTCCTCCCGGCACCCTAGGCTCAGTATACTGTAGCTCGCGGTATACTGAGACAATTATGTCTGGATCCGCCCAGCTGCGTGAGTGATAGCTGGGTCTGCCTATCTGTACCCGCCCCCTCCCCCGTACGTTCCGCCAGTCAGCGCTGGGGAGGGGGGGGATCGAGAAGTGAGCGAACGCCGGTATGTGTTTGCTTACTTCCCCATCTACTGAGCCGACCTGTGACAGTCTCATTGTCACAAGTCGGCTAGAACTATGAGGTGAGTGAAAAGCACTCACCTCATAGTTCTCCTTTAAATAGGTAATGTGCTGCAGCAGCCGTGAGTTTGGTGTAACCGCTTCAGGATGCCGTCGTCTTTTTTCTCCCTTTTCTTAGGTGTTCCTCAAGCAGTTAAGGTTTAATTCCTGAGTTTAGTGTCACTAGGCAATGAGGTTTGTATTGTAACAAAATCTGCTTGTCTTTTCCTATTTGCTATGAAGTGGTAATCAACATTTCTGAGCTTAAAGCATATCTAAACCCCAAAACAAAAATGTAATATGTTACAGCTTACCAATCTTTCAATGAGGCGGCTGCATTGGTTTTCTCTTTCCTTTTGTTTTCACTTCCTGTCTTAAGCTGGCCATACACCTGTAGATTATCTGCAGATTTCCTATGGTCAGATGGAAAAAGTGATGCAGATTCCCCCATCTACGCTACACTGTGTGGATGATGGAATCTCCCGCTGGGCCAAGCTTCAGCATCTTGCTCGTTGGCCCCACTGGCTGTCAAAACACCTAAACAATCTGATTGGATGCAGGCATTGTTCAGGTATTGAGAGCCAGAGGGGCCAACTAGTAAGATACTGAAGCTTGGCCCAGTGGTAGATTCCTCCATCCACACAGTTTAGCGTAGATGGAGGAATCTGTTGCACTTTTTCCATCTGACCATAGAAAATCTGCAGATAATCTATACAGTATGTGTATGGCCGGCTTAAGGGTGGCTCTTCTATATGAAGGAGCAGTGGCGCCACCCTTGGACAGCAGTGTTGTCACCCTGTGGAGGGGGTAGTATTAGATGCTCTATCAGATTTAGATGGACCAGACTAACAAATTTAAATCTCAACTCCCGATAACACTTTTGAAGCAGTTACAGCGACCGTTTTTTCCCCCCTTTTGAGATAAACGCTTTACATAAATAAGAGCTGACCCCTGTCAATTGTGTCTCAGGCCAGGTTCACAGCTGGGTGATCTGTGACCGCGTGGATATTGTACACAAAACTGCACGGATGGTCACGGAATCACACTGGCGATGCCATTATTTTCTAATGGCAACAAGCAGATTGCGCGATTCCCCGCGTGCAGTCGCGCACGATATGGTTAAAGAAACACACGTGGCGTGTCGCAAAAAAAGGGTACATGCACCTTTTTCCAGCGATCTGCTGCTTGGATGTAATCCCATTGAAATCAATAGGGAGGCGCGTCCCGGGATGGCACAAGTCTGCACCAGCCCTCAATCCTTGATTTGCCAGTTTTGTTGGTCAGCTTTGCCAGGCAAAGGCCGCTGAAAAATAAGACTTACTGGCCGGATCACCAGGTGAGGAAAGGGAATAAAGAAAACGAATGCAGCCACCACATGTAGGAACTGGTAAAGTACTGGTACATTTTTATTTTGGGTTTAGATACAAGTTAAGCTGGATGTGATTTCTGTGTGTGATGAATATTCGGAGCTGGCTCTGTATTGTGGGAGGTAGCTCCGGCTGGTACTGAATCTCCTAAATATGGCGCAGATTGGATTTGAAAGCTGTGCAAGATTACAGGTTCTGGCTGATGCAATTCCCATTCTGTACTGCTGAGGAAACCCACTGCAAAGTCTAAGCAGAGGGCTGGCCAGTTTTCGAATGGGATTCTGGCGGGATTCCCTATCCGGATAACTGGTCACTGGGTACAGTCTTCTCAGCAGAGCATTTACTGCATGGATGGAGGAATGTGCACTGCCCGCTGCTGTATTCAGAGAGTCAGTCTCTGCTTGACCAACAATCCACCCAGCTCCTTTGTTGTTGTCAAGATGGATGGGCTGACAGGTCCACACATGGCTTGAATTTTGGCCAATTCAACAGGAATTGTGTTGTGCTGTAATTGCAAATGGCTACCTGCAGTTAGGCCTGGTTCACACTGAACGTTTTGTAGCACCTTTTCTACCCTAAAAAAACGCTAAATATATGCCCCCCAAAAAATCCCATTCATTTCTATGGCCGTTCACACGTGCGTTTGCTGTATATTTGCGCGTTTTATGCACGTTTGCTCTTTAACATCAATGAGCTACAATTTGTTGACAAACGCGCAATTTAATTTATGTGCATCAAAACCGCACAAAAAGTGCATCAAAAACGCTGTCGCCTAGGTGTGAATCCAGCCTTTGTGCCGGGTGATGTGGATGCCAATAGCTTGTGTCCAGAGGTGATCTGTCCCTAACTGCAGGTAATCTCCCTATGTGCGGTTAGGTCCAAACAGCTGTGGTCCTGGTGTTGCTTTGTAAAGGGCTCTATATAAATATAAAGGTGTTGCTGGATGTGTAACTGTAGGGCTGGGCTCTGCGTTGGGAGTTCACGGAGCACCCTACACATGCATAGTGTGCGTTTCCGGGGCGGGGTGTGCCCGTGTAAGACTTGGAGCCTGATCCTATTTACATACAGTAATATGTACACTTATGTTGGGTGTTCCCTGAGCTGACAAGATTACATTTATTTGGCACAAAACGTAGGAGCGGGCAGATCCTCATGCCAGCTAGCTGTCAAACATGTCAGATTTATGGAGTTAATATCATGCTTGCACCAATTACCTTTTAATGCCATTCATTTTTAAAGTGACCCTGTCACCAGGTGCAAAATATTAAAGCAGAACCCCCCCCCCCCCTAAAAGATGAAGAATATCGGATTATTTTTTTGCGAGTGGGTGGTGTGTTAAGAACTCGGTAGCAGAACTCCGGTGCCACACTTTCAAGTGCCACGGTTATGGGTTCTTTGCTGGGTGCTGTAGTTTCTCCCATCAACCTCCTACATTACCGCTGTGTGCTGCAGTGATATCCGGTCAGTGGGAGGAACTACAGGGCTCAGCCGGGGCTCGCTCTTGGACATACCCAGAAGAATCTGCAGCAGTGACTGCCTCTTCATTTACAGGGGGCATCAGGGTCAACTTTTTCCACTGGGGACAGGGTGGCTGTTGCAGCGTACCACTTTATTTAAAGTTTTCATTCGATTGGTACCTGGTCGGGAATTAAACACTGCTTGGTAAAAATACACTGCGGGTAGAGTTCTACTTTAAACATCGAATGAATATGTTATCTGACTGAAGTGCAGTTGCCATGTTTTCTGGATACACGGCACTCTCTTGATCTCTTGTTGCTGCTGAGAGGTGAGCTCTGTACACGCTCCCTCTATATTAGGATATAGTTACCACCTATAATGGTTTCAGCATAATTCCGTAACGCACATCTAATGCTATATTTTCTTTCCCTTTTCAGCCATATTGAACAGACCACCACATGGCAAGACCCTCGGAAAGCAATGTTGTCACAGATGAATGTCTCTGCTCCCACCAGCCCCCCAGTGCAGCCAAACCTTATGAACCCAACAGGTTTGTAGTCACATCGTCCTGTATCTGTATGTTTGTGATGCACTCATGTGTAGAAATCCCACAGAAACGGTCTACCTGTCCTCGAGGTGGAGAAAATGGTGTGAGAGGTTGAATGAGTATAAACTTGGAGATAGGGCTGCAACCTATTCATCAATAATCGATCATGAGAATAGTTGCCAACTATTCTCATTAGAGCTGCAGCTAACGATTATTTTCAAAATCGATTAGTTAGCCGATTATTAAGTTCGATTAATCGGTTAATCGGATAAACAATAAAATACATTTAAAAAAAATGGCTTAGTTAGTTGGTTGGATACCGTAGCTCTCTCCTCCACACTGGGAGGAGGGCACAGCAAGCACTGGGCGGGAGCAATAGCCAGTCTATTAGCTATTGCAATGTGAAATGGCCAATAGCAGGTTTGCTATTGCACCCGCCCACTACCTGCTGTATTTACATTCAGCTGCCGTCTGTGGAATCTTCCCACTGGCTGCTGTCATTCCCGGGCTGAAGCTATTCAAGCGCCATGTGCTTACAGTACAATTATTGATTTTTTTTTTTTTAATAAAGGTGGAAAAAAGTCATCTTGGGTTATGGCCTGACAAATTCTCCTGAGGGAGGGGCGTTGCAGTGCCATTCATTTCAATGGCACCCCAAACGTACCTCCCACCCACAGTGTGATCACCCGCACTGGAACGCACGGTATCTCAATGCCATGCGTTCAAGTGCAGTGTGATTGCAAAAAAAAAATTGTGCATGCAGTTTTACTCTGAAACTTTGTTTGCATTTGTGTATGTTATTTTTAATTAACAATGGTTTTGTTTTTTTATCCGATTATTTGCAAAAGCTGGTCAACTATTCGATTATAAAAATAATCATTAGTTGCAGCCCCGGGTGTGCGTGTGCGTGTATTTAAAAAAAAAAAAAAAAAAAAGTCCAATTCAATGCTTGTAAATCTGATACCTTTTTGCTCTTTCCATTTTTCATAATATCCATGTCCCATCTTGCTTATTCGGGGGAGGTAATGGAGAATTGCTTCCACCCTCACAGGAAGTTCTTTGTAGGCACTACTTTCTTTCCTTTCCTTTCTGGGAACTGGGCATGTAATTGGGTGGTGAAGCAGATCTCTGCTTCATCAGCTTCTTTGGGGTCCCTAGGTGACATTAGGGATCTACCAGACCCCTGATATCTCCATAAAGAGGACCTGTCACATTATATTTGCTATTACATGAGGGGCTTGTTAGCCTCTATGTGATGGCAATAAAGTTAAGAGTAAGTTTTTTCTTGCATTTAAAATTTTTTAAAGTCCCCCATCCCTACGTACACACACATACAAGCGCAAGCAGGTGCCGCGTGCGCCTTCGTGCAAAAATGAAAATTGCGCCACAGATGATATATATCGCAGCGAACGTCGGAGCGTGAGCAATAATTTTAGGTTCATTAATCACTGGTAACACTAAACTGATGAGTCGTAAAAGCTTTTAAAGCGTCGCCTATGGGAAATTTTGGGTACAGTAGTTTTATGCGTTTTCACTGGCGTATGCAATTTAAAGGCTTGTCATGTTTGGTATCTATTTACCCGACGTGACCCCGTCTTTTATATTCCACCAAAAAATTGGGTAATAGATTCTGTTTCTCTGCACTAAATTTCATTTTCGTGTATTTCATCCTAAAAATACTGATTTGATAAACATTTGCACAAATACCGTATGACATACAAAATTGCAACTAGCATTTTTTTATTCTACAGGGCCTCTGCTTTCAGAACATATACCCTTGTTTGGGGGATTTGAAGCTGTTTTGTAGCCAGAAATTCAGATTTTAGTGTGTGTGTGTGTGTGTGTGTGTGTGTGTGTAAATAGTAAGAAATTTCTCCAGACAGCAAGTGGCTAAAGCTTTGAGCTTGGGTCCTCTTTCATTCCCACTGGTGATAAATTGCCATGCCCATGGTTGGCTGGCGGTCACATGGTGTCAGCCATAAATTCATGTTTGTTTTCATTGGTTCCATATAGATTTGTTTGCACAGATTTTTACCTTGCACAGGAAACGCATGTTTGTAGTAAAAATCCGTCTCGGTGACCTCTGGCACAGAGGTGGTAAATATCGCTGCTTAAAGTTCACTTCTAATTCAGAGAAAAGCACTTGGTTTCAAATGACAGCCATAGTTTCAGTCCGTATTTGAAGCATTTCTTGCTCTGTGACTGGTTATCTCCTCCTCGGATGGCTTTGCCGCCTTCTGGTTCCAGCCTTCATATTACCACTGCAGGTTACAGAATGAAAGGAGGCGCGGGATAGGTGGAATCCACCATTAGTTACACTGAGCAGTGAATGAACTGAATAGTAATCTAGGAGCGGTCATTACTTGTTTGTTCAAATTGCAGCTCTGTCCCCTTTATCCTTCAATACCTAATAGGCTCTGACCCAGTACAAGCATGTGTATATCAGGCTGTAGGATGTGACATTCACCAGCTTGTCCTTGGTCAGCGATTCGCAAGTTAGCACCCCATAGCCTGCACCTTAAGCCTTAATTCACTGCTAGTAACAGCCGGCCCGTACAGATCCGTGCTGCGTGCACAGCCGTATCGGGCCGCTCTTGGGAAGGACAGGTGCTGCGTGTAATTAGTACGCAGCCCCTGTCCTCACTTGGAGTACGCGGCCCTACGCTCACCCCAACTGCAGGTCTGTGCAGGTGTCCGTACTCATACGCTGACAGGATGGATCCTGTCTGCGTCCGAGCAGGGTCACGTGCACCCGTACGGATGTGCAGTTCGGGTGAGCATAAGGGCCGCGTACTCCAAGTGAGAATGACGGGGGCTGCGTACTAATTACACGCAGCACCTGTCCTTCCCCGAAGCAACCCAATACAGCTGTGCACGCAGCACGGGTCTGTACGGGCTGGCTGTTACTCGTGTGAATGAGGGCTAAATATCAAGTTGAAAATGAAATCTATCTGAGTACCCCAAAGGTGGACAAACTGTGGCCCTCCAGCTGTGATGAAACTACAAATCCTATCTTGCTCTAGAAGTCGTGGCTGTTGTTATTGCAATGCCTAATGGGATTTGTAGTTTCACGAAAGCTGGAGGGCCACAGTTGGCCCACCCCTGCTGTAACCAGACAGGTTCCTGTTAGTATATGTGATCCCCTTTCCACTAACCATATCCATAGGAGTAAAAAAAAAATACTGTTATTTAGTTTAGAAGCAGTCACATGACCATTTGAGTGCCATATCATTGAGGTCTCGGGGGGGAGGGGGGACGTAGAACAGAGTGCTTGTCTCCTGATGGGAGCTGCTGTCAATCACTAAGGGAGGGCTGACCTATGGGTGTGTAGCATGTGATGTCTCCAGCTTACTATGAGAAGATGATGTGTACAGGGTCCATCCCTATTGACCGCCACCACTGCTCAGGGCCAATATGTAACTATCAGCAATGGTGTAGGCAGTGGTGCCGCCGCTGATTACATACTATTGATGATCACATCTCCCCATGAATGTGTAATTCACACAGTGGGGGCACACGTGCAGAATGTCTGAGGGCATAGTGTATAATGAGCAAGCTCTGCCCACTATTACAAATTGTTTATATGTAGGCCCTGGGCATGGGTGGCCCATCTCGGCTTATACAAGGGGTATGTCCATATGATCTCAGGTGCAGTACAGACAAGTTTGTATGTAGGATCTTGCTGGCACCATACGCCTGTGTGCATGAGCCTTGAATGTGTTACTGCGCATCTGTCAAGGAAGCTGACTCCTCCTCCGAGGAGCAGCTGTCAATCAAGCTGAGCAGGGCGGGCCAGGGGGGACATGTCAGCAAGACTGATACCGGAACTGCAGGCACACTCTGAGTCAGCACGGCGCCCTGTAGCTCATGTTTACAAGCTATGGGAGGCAAACGTACTATGCCAGGACTATGCCAGCACGCATGCTCTTGTGTACCCGGGACAGCACATGTACAAGACTTGCTATTGACTCAGCAGAGCCATAAAAACCTGACCGGTTCTAAACCTTATCTGCTCAATTCAAAAGTCAAATTAATACATTCAGGGACCGTAACATTAAAGCTGAACCCCAGCCTTACTTTTAGTCTTGCAGAGTTGTACGGAATTTGCTTATGCTGACCTAACTGCACACCGCGAGCTTCTGAAAGTGTGCATTACAGCTGTCTGCTAGAGCTCGCCTCATTTCCTGGGTAGAGGACATCCAGCACCATTTAGCTCTACCCTCCACCATTTAGCTGTACTGCTTCCCTCACATAAAAGGCCAACAAAGGGTCTGAGGTATGGAAGTCTTCTTGCTGCGTGTAGCAACCCGTCATCTTCACTTTGTTATTTTTACTCCATGGTTGTAAATAAATCAAGGAAGTTTTTTTGGTTGTTAGGAACAACTCAATCCTATACCTTTTACCACACTATTCAAACATGAGGCCTGGAGCCATTATTGAATACCTATCCCACGCAAACCTGAACATGCCAGCTGAGGTTTGCGTTTTCTTTATTGTGTTCTTTGTTTAAAGATTTGCACGCCAAATATAAAAACCCCCCCCCCATACATACCTATACAGTCCCCCTGCATTTCTGTCAGATAATGCACCACTTCGCGTAGAAAATTGTTGCAATGACAAATGTTTCAGCATTCTCGTGTTTATTTCTTTTGTTTGTATTGGTATGACACAAAATTAACAGGTTTTTGACAAAACAAAATGACAGCTTGTTGGTGCAGCCCGTCATTCTACTGTTTTCAGAAAAAGAAATGAGACCTTCAAAGAACAAAGTACAGTCCCTACAGTCACACATGGTGGAGGTTCACTGATGTTTTGCTTTGCTGCTTCAGGCACTGGATGTCTTGGCTGTGTGCATGGCATTATGAAATCTAAAGACTACCAGAGAATACTGGGGTACAATGTAGGGCCCAGTGTCAGAAAGTTGGGTCTCCATCAGAGGTCATGGGTCTTACAGCGGGGCAATGACCCAAAGCACACATCATAAAGCACCCAGAAATGGTTTCAGACAAAGCGCTGGAGAGAACTGGACTGGCCAGCAACGAGCCCAGATCTGAATCCCATAGAGCACCTGTGGAGAGATCTCAAAACAGCAGTAGGGAAAATGAACCCTTCCAATCCGAGAGACCTGGAGCAGTTGGAGAAAGAAGAGTGCTCCAAAACTCCTGTAGAGAGGTGTAAGAGACTCATTGATGGTTACCGGAAGCCATTGATTTCAGTTATTTATTCCAAGGGCTGTGCTACCAAATATTAATTGAGGGTGCCAATAATTTTGTCCAGTCCATTTTTGGAGTTTTGCGTGGAATGTGTCAGATTTGCCTTTTTTTTGTTTTGTTTTTTTCACTTTTTTGTGTCATACCAATACAAACAAAAGAAATAAGCAAGAGAATGCCTAAACATTTGTAATTGCAACTTCCTGGAACTCTGACACATGTGACCATGTACATCCTCTTTGGGGATGAATATGCCTTTTCCTGAGATCTCGGGAGATTACAGATGAGATTTCCCAGTAATGCTCTGCTGATGTAACCTTCCAGGATGCAATGCTTGGGCACAGTTACATAATTTGTGCCAGAACTGGACCAGGAAATGGAAAAACAATATTTGTAAATAAAATAAAAATGTTTGTTTAGGTAATGAATGTAAGGTGGTTTCATATCGGCATGCAGAGCTGTATACTGGTGTGATTTTTAGTCAAAGGGGGTAAAGGTCAGCATTAAATGCAGCGTTCTTTGCTATATGCTTCCTTTGCTCACCTCCACTTCTTCGAGATCTGACTTTTATTTCCAAATTGAATTAGCCCAAAGCCGGCCATAAATTATGCAAAATTCGGCTGGTTCTTCAGGAATCAGACTAAATTCACGCAGTGGGTGCCACAATCGGGACCGTTTCGTCCAGGATCCCTTGATCAGCTGACCGAAGTTGCTGGTCAGAAATTCTTTGAATGGACGGAGCCTGCAAAGGAAGCAGCGAGGATTCTTCGATCAATGCTGGTAAGCTTTAATAGAGGAATCTGTTCCATTTTTTGTTTAACCCGCCAGCTGAACGAAAAAAAATAGAACAGTGTATGGCCAGCTTAACGCCCAAGGTTATGGGCAGCCGGATCTGAATGGGCCTGCGTCCATTTACATCCAGTTACCCCCGACTCTGGCCAGGTCTGGAAAACAAACAGAACTGAGATCTGTTTTGGTGGACATGATTGTGCCGGATCCGGGGTAATCTGATGTGAATGGACACGTGTCCATTTACATCCAACTTTAACCCTTTGTTAACACCCTGGTGTTCGAATCTAGTTTGCACTGTGCTGGTAGATCTCATCAGTTGTGGACAGGGTTCATTAGCGTAAGCAGAACGTCCTTACAGCCCCATTCTTAGCATTTTAGGGGGAAGCTAGATCGGATTTTTTTTTTTAAATCAGATAGTTTTTATTGATTTTTCAAAAAACAGACAAAAACATAACAAACATACGAGAGAGAGAGAAAAAAAAAAGGGTACAAAGGAGTTGCACTTTTAAATGACAATAGCCACACGCCCAACGGCACAAATATCTTGTACACTCAATACCCCTCACTCCTCACACCTACTGGTACAATATTAGTGTGACAGGCATATCGAGTACCCCCCTGAGGGTAGTACACATACAGGGTGCTTACTCAGGCGCCTCCCCTCCTCGAGAGGACAGCCAGTTGGACCACATAGACTCAAATGTTTTCATATTACCTCTCTGCTGTAAAGTGACACGTTCATAGCCCACCATCTTATCCATTTCTCTAAGCCATAACTCCAGTGTAGGGGGAGAAGCGGAGATATACCTACGCCCCACCAACCTTGATGCCGTGAATAGTGCTCGTTTAATGGCCACAATTGTATGTGAAGCTAGATCGGATTTTAGTCGCGTTTAAAGTGGAAATGCACTGTACACTTTTTAAAAACAATGTTGTTTTTCACTGAGAAGAACCTCCTCATAGAACACTTAGTTTGGGTAGATATTTTATACCAGATACCTGAAGTTTTGCTGACATTACTAATTGGAATAGATCTGGAAGTGTTCCCCAACCTATACTAACCACCGACCGTTCTTGTTTTGCAGGTATCCTAATTTCACACCCATAGATTTTAGTGTCTCCGCATTGCAATTAAAGTTGTAAAGTCCCAGCATATCCTCTCGTGTTTTAACATCAGCATTGTAATAGGAACACATACTGGAGTTGTTTGTGATAATACAATCCAAAGCTTACTTCTGCCTTTTCCGTCTGCCCATCACTTTCATCAACTTCCTGGATTCCCAGTGTGCTTTACGTCTCTTTCCCTGCTGCTTGGTGTGATGCAATCTTGATTTCTCAGGGCTATATATCCCATCATGCATTGCTTCCCGCAAGCAATGATGATGTTGAGTGGTACAGAGGGCAGGCTCTGTAAGAGCTGTGACACAAGGAGGGGCTGAGTGAAATGGATTCAGGGCATTGAGGAAGTACATCTTGTGGGCATCTTCAGTAAGTAAGTTTATAAACATATGGATGGATCTAGTTATTAGGAGTGGGATAGAACTTATGAAAGTTCAATATAGAAATACAGATTTGTTTTTAGTTTTTTACCATAGATCCCCTTTAAGCTACATATGTTGATATTCGAGACTTTCAAGGATGGGTTTTGGAGATGCTAATCTGTTCCTGACACTCTTGCCCAAGTCATCTTTGTAGAACCTCATTCACAAGTCACAGGCCAGGGGCAACTAGAGAAGTTAGATGACAACCCCCACCAGAAAATAAAAAAAATGTGATTTTAAAAACCGCCAGATCTGCAGCTACAGACTGCTTTTTGCATTTGGGTTGGGTGCAATGTGACTGGTCTGCTTTGGTGACCTGTTTCCTTTTTAAGATCACATTGGTCTTTTCAGCAGTAAAATGAACAAATATTTGCATGTCAGTCACGATGCAAAAAGTTGGTGGTGGTTGTAAACCCTTCGTTTTTTGTTTTTACAGGTCCCTTGCCAGATGGGTGGGAGCAGGCCATCACTCAAGAAGGGGAGATTTACTATATAAACCACAAGAACAAGACCACATCGTGGCTAGACCCACGGTTAGACCCACGCTTTGGTAAGGAAGAATCTGGTCCTTTGTATGCTTAAAGTGCAACTATGAGAATTAAGTATGCCTTCAGCCCTCTTCAAGGTGCATCTAGAATCCAAACCAAAAATCATTCTGTGCCCAGCAGAACTGTCATTGGAAAGAGCTTTGGAAAAATGCCTTATTTTATTTTTTCCATGTAGTTGGCAGTTTTTTTTTTGGTGTTGGTTGGGGGGGGGGGGGGGGGTGCTTAGAGCCTACCTCTGGGCACAATTGATTTTTGTTACAGCAGTAGAAGACACTTTATATTAAAAATCCACCTCCTGTGATGCATGCTATCCAATCACATTCATCTTTTGTTTAGCTGCAAGTGGAAGTAGAGCTCCCGTTGTACTTCTGTGCCCACTCGGATGTAAGCGCTGCAGGTGTCCTAGACACCAGCGTTATGGTCACATCTCTGCCCCCTTTTCCTCCTAGTTATTCATAAAGCACACAGCCCAGGCTCTGTTTTGTGAATGGCCTGGTGACGAGGGAGGCAGAGCTGTGACTAGTGCTGAAGTCTATGAGATTTGCAGCACCTATGTCTAACATGGTATGGGAGTACAATGGGAGCTCTACTTCCAGCAGCATGTAAACAAGATCTGCAGGATTTCTAAGATTGTATTTATCATGGAAGGTGGCTTTTATACGAGCAGAGTATTCAGCAGTTGTAATCTTAGTAAGTTCACTGTGCCCGGAGTTGGGCTTTTAAGGGTCTGTGTCCCCCTGGCTTTTGTTCCCATCAAGCTGGTTTTGCATTCCCATACAACTCTATGGAAATTCAAACGCTGCTCAAGCAGGTCATATGCACCTGCCAATTCTGAAGCTTTTAAAACCGATGTCATGCACACAAAAGCCTGTGCAAGTATTCACCCTGAACTTGCAAAGGAGTTTTAGACTAGTGGACTTCATGCAGCCTATTTAAAGTGCATCTCTAGGTTAATCTTTTTTTCAAGGACCATGGGGAACAAACATAACCACCCTCCAGAAGGAAGGACGGTGTCCGCACCAATTCAGAGATGATTTGAGGATCTACAGCCGAGTGATGCACACATAAGATACATTTTTGTTAATATTTCGGGTACTTGAATGTATTTGTAAGATTGAACTAATGAGTTTACTGTCGCTTTAAATTTGGATAGAAATGAAGGGTTAGACCTCCTGTCAAGTTTTTGTTGTGCGGGTACCAATGGGTGGGATTCACCCCTCATTGTCACGGAGATGTAAAGTGAGGGTAAATCCAAATTTGTTGACCCAAGTGAGTGGTCCTTAGAACAAGAGGTAAGTGGGAAATCTTCCAATAGGCGCACCTAAGAGGGAGATCACGCCCTAACTTCCTGTTGTGTCTCTGGAGCAGGAAGTGAGATTTCCCTAGTGGTAAAACAGCAAAAAAATAACCTAACTTGGTTTTAGCCTTTTCCTGCACTATCCTAAACTAAAACATTTTTGGCTAGGGCAGCGGTGGTGAACCTACATCATGCTTGCCACAGCGGGTACGCGTGGCCCTTTCTGCTGGAACGTGAGGCCAGGATTATCAAAGGGGCTCCTGGAGCCCGGGGTTATATAGGAACAGCCAACTCGTCAAGATCTCCAACTTGTTAGGTCACGTCCGGGACTTGCAAGTAGGAGATTTTGAGATGGTGCTTGTGCGCATGCGCCAGCCGTGGCAGTGTCGGAACCCTGTTGGAGTTCTCCAATTCCCATCAGTGCGCCTGCGTGGCTTCACACTGCTCGTCGAGTTCTCCAACTCCTGTCAGTGCACTTGCGCGGTCCCCCAAGAGCAGTATCAAGTCCTCCATTTAGCATTACTGCACCTGCATGCCCACCCGATGGCATCACATGGAATCTGTTAGCAGATGATGCTCTCTGATTGGCTGCCTTTGCGTTGCACCAACGTGGATTGTGAAGCCGCGCAGACGCACTGATGGGAATTGGAGAACTCGATGAGGATTCTGAAATTGCCATGGCTGGCGCACGCACACTAGCGCCATCTCGTCCAAATCTCCTACTGGCAAGTTACCAGACGTGAGGTAATGAGTTGGAGATTTTGCCAGTTTGGGCACTTGGGCTCAAAAAGATTTGCCATCACTGGTCTAGGAGAATTAGTCTTCAGGGGCCTGTCCATTTTACCTGCAGTACACGCATCACAGTTGCAATGCTTTGCAAGCTCCAGTGCAAAAACTAATAGATGCACATTTCTTATTTTTGCAGCATGTGCGTTCAGTTTTTTGCACAGTGGAATTTGCGCTACTTGTCCTTTTCAGTTCAGTAATCTTTAAAGTGAAGAGACTGTCGCCTGTTTCAGAATCCTCTGACGGAAGCAGCTGTTCCCTGACTCTCATAAGACAAGTAGCTCATCCCTTTTATAGTGTATTAAATCCCTGAAAACTAGTTAAAGCGACTGTCAGGGCATTTTTGATGTTTAACTTGCTTGTCATTACATATTTTCATGATGTGTATACAGTATACTGATTTGTAATGTCTGTCAGCACAGTCATCATCTTTGCTCAGGGAAATACAGTTCAATAGGTCTGATATGGATTTTAAGGGGAGACCTTACTGTTTTTTTTCCTAAAGGCTTTGCCAACGTTCTCTTTAGCAATCATGCGCTGCATACAAAGCCTGAGACCACAGAGGAACGTGGTCAATGTAGACTTAGACAGCCTCTGCGTTCTTCTAAAGGTGTAAGGTTTAGAAACCGAATTGATTATACCTCTGGAATGATCTCTACCTATAAAAAGAATACGCACTCGGACCCTTTAAAATACCATTTTAAAGAGATACTTTATAGCGAGTAATTTCTACCTTTTCTGATACACCTACCCGGGATTCTTCTGTAATCCTATTTTGTAATATAATCTGTGCCGAATGAAAGGGTGATTGTCTACTAGAATGCCAGCGTTTCAGTAACTTCAAATATGAAAGGCATTTGGCTTTGGTGATTAGGCAGCGAGTGAAGTGGAGTGCCCTTTTATTTGTGGTCTTGTTACAGTTTTGTCAGGTGGACTTGGTTACAGTAGCTGCATGTTATCTTATTTAGTACGTACATAGAGATGGTGATTTTTTTTCAGGCTAGGACTAAATGGATTCCAGGGGATTGGCAGTAAATATATTCACCGATTCAAATCAATCACTGCTGTTCTCTTATAGCAGTTTTATAGGCTGATGCTAAATTGTTTTACTTCAAGAGCACTTTGTGTATATCACCGCATCACATTTATCGGGAATTGCTCCAGTCTCTGCAGCAATATAGTAAATTGCATAGTGTTCCCCTATTCACATGAAATGATTCCCTACACCCTGACAGACCCCATTCTGAGCTCTCTATGTATCTGGCAGGAGCAGTTTTCTGTTTGGTTTGCTGGCCTGGCACAGGGTGGAACATTCTAGAGCTGATGAATAGTGTATCATACCTACAGACCGGGCATTGCTGATTGGGGGTGCTGGTTGTAATTTGCTTGTTTTAAGGCAGTGATGGTGAACTTTTTTGAGCCTGAGTGCCCAAACTGGATCACTAAACCAACCTATGTATCTCAGTGCCAACCCTGCAATTGCAAACTCTGCGGGCTCTAAAGTGGTCTGTATTGGCTCTTAGGGGGGATGTGCGGCTCTCGTGGGCACTGTGGGCCCTCAGAGGGGCCGTGTGGCTCTCAGGTGGTCTAAGGGGGCTCAGATATGGTCTGTGTGCTCTCAGGGGGGTCGTACAGCTCTGAGGCGGTTTGTATGGGCTCTCAGGGGGTGGGGGTTGTGCAGCTCTCAGATGGTCTGTATGGGCTTTCATGAGGCTGTGAGGCTCTTGGGGGCGCTGTGCGGGCCCTCAGGGGGGCTCTGCAAGCCGTTAGGTGGTCTGTATTGGCTCTCAAGGGCGCTGTGCTGCTCTTATGGGTGCTGTGCGGGTTCTTAGAGGGACTGTGCGGCTCTCAGGTGGTTTATAAGGGCCCCTGAGAGGCCCCAGCAAGCGGCCTCTAATATATCGGATAATAGGGCCACCGTGGCCAGCCCAGATCGCCTACCGAGCTGACCCAGCATGGTCGGGCATATCTTCACGCGCGCCCATATGTTAATCTGAACCTAGGCTCGTGTGCCAGCAGAGAGGGCCCCGGGTGCCCTCTATGGCACACGTGCCATAGGTCCGCCACCACTGCTTTAAGGAGTTGACTTTTCTCTTTCAGCTGTGCCTATCTATTACATTGAGTATTTGTAACACAGCGCTAGAGATGGAGTCAACAAAATGTGTGTAGATGTTCACAGATTGGGTTAAGTGATCAATGTATCAGGGTCTTGATGATATGGTACCCGATCCCGTCCTGCCTTCGAGTATATTCTTCCTGCGTTAGAATCGGGCAGTAGGAGAGATGTTTTCCGGCTGTAGTGCTGGAGCTGTTTTTCAGACCCAGGGACCGCTTAGCCTAAGCGTAGTACTAACGAACTTTCTCTCCGGATTTTATTTGTTAGTACTTAATCTTAATCGAAGCTGACTTTATCCATTTTATTATTATTTCATTTTACTATCTATTTCTATTTTTTGTCATCCAAGTTTATCACGATTATTAACCTATGTTTGAATGTCATTAATATTTATTAGCTATAGGCTACACTTAACCTTCAGTTAATTGCTCACTCATGTTGTTCACACATTGATACAATTCATCTTTTTCGTTTACTTTTTATGATTGTTTCTAACACACATAATTTATACATTGATATACATTGATCAATTAACCCAATCTGTGAACATCTACACACATTTTGTTGACTCCATCTCTAGCGCTGTGTTACAAATACTCTATCTATTTAAAGGCGGTTCACCTCCTTTATTTCATAGCTGCTTTTGGTACAAGTACAATTTAGACATATCCAGGAGCGCAGATTTATTTTTCCCATACTATCTATTACATTGCCAGGAATTTTCAAGCAAGACCCAAGTTAGGGCCTATTAAACACACACATGTTACTGTGCATTGGGTTAGGGCAGCCGATTCATTTTAATA